TTTAGACCAGATATTCGATCTTAAAGCTATATCATCCGTGAACATCACCGGCTTAGAGCAGTTTTTAGATAAATTTGTAGCATCGGTGGCTGCACTCAACAACCTGAAATTTAATGACCTTATGGAGGTGGTGTTTCTCCATATTGCCTTAAAGAAACTAGACCCGGTCGGTCCCGGTCGAGAAGCAAGATGTTAGAGTCTGTTGTTAGTAAACCTGTTGTAGTTTCGTCGCAGCCGAAGGGAACGCCGAGTAGGGATAGCCCTGGAGCGAGGTTTACCGACACCGCGAACAAACCCCAAATTAGCAACATTAGATCGCCCCGCAACCCGTCAGGTTACATATTAAGTGCACGTGTTTCGCAACCCGGGACCCGAATCGATCTCGTTAGCGGAAGCGCGCGCGGCGCGGATCGAGGTCACGGTCGCGGCGCATGGAGACGCCGAGCCGCTGCGACAGAAAGCGTGCCTCACTGGAGGCCACGGAATAGACCTGCTGAAGCCAATCTTTCTTGGCGGGAGGAAGTGAGGCTTCGCGAGCAACAACCCATAAGCAGTGTTGTTCCAAAGCGTTCATCGCATAGTTTTACCGCTTATTATTAATTATAGTTTAGCCGCTTAGAAATTGCATAATTGTGATTGGACAGTATTATTATTTAAATGTTAGTTTGTTGTTGATAGAATTATATATTGGTATTTTCTTAGTGTTTGTTTAGCTTGTTAGTGTTCCATAAAAATAAAAATAAAATAGTATAGTTTAGCCGCGGCACAGCAATATGCTGTGTTCCATTTAAATCATTTTGTAGTTACAGTGTAGCCATTGTAGTTTAAACGTCGATAGAAGTAGCGTCATCATGGTCGTTGGGTTTGCAGACGCGAGCGAGAAGGCTTACGGGGGCGTTGTATATTTTCACGTCCAGAATAATGGTAGAAATTCGATCAGCCTCATTAGCTCTAAGTCAAGAGTCTCCCCCCGTAAGGTTGTCTCTCTCGCGCGCTTAGAGCTTTGCGCGATATTAGTCCTTGCCAAGCTTATCACCGCAGTTATTAGTGCATGTAGTGACAGAGTTCACATAGAAAGAATATTTACCTTTTCTGACTCAACCGTCGCTTTATGTTGGGTTCATTCTTCACCCCACCGTTGGGATACGTTTGTCGCGAACCGAGTGGCCAAGATCCTAGACGAGTTAGGAACACGGAACTTTTATCACGTGTCCGGTACGGAAAACCCTACCGATTGTCTATCCCGTGGACTCACCCCGATGCATATAATGGACAATCCGCTTTGGTTCCACGGACCTTCTTGGGTTCACTTGGAACCCTCGCAGTGGCCAATAACTGATTTCGACCCTTCGTCAGTGTCTCAACCACCGGAAGAGAGGAGGTACGCTCTGGTGGCGAACGTTTCGAGCGAGGTTTCTCCAATCATTGATTTGGCGAACCGTTTGTCCTCTTGGTCGAAATTATTGCATAGCGTGATTTACGTTTGTCGATTCGCGAAGCTTTTACCGCGACGTTCGTATATCGTAGCGTCCGATTACAGCTACGCCAAGTTGCTAGTATTGCGTGAACTTCAACGTGCACATTTTTCCGACGAAATTACAAGATTACAATCAAATAGAACTAGTAGTCGCACTTTTTAACGTCTTAAGCCATTTTTACAAGATGGAATCGTCAGGGTAGGTGGACGCTTGTCTAACTCGCAGTTGAGTTTCGACCAACGGCACCCTATAGTTTTACCGCGTAAAGACCATATCATAAATTTATTAGTTGATTACCATCAGAAATTGAATTCTCACGCTGGCCCTGACTTGCTGATGTCAATCTTGCGTCAGAATTATTGGATTCTTTCAGCACGTAATTTAATCCGCAATTGGGTGCACAGATGTATAGCTTGCTTTCGAGTACGTCCTAAGCCGTCATTTCCGGAAATGGCGCACCTTAGGTCTTGTCGAGTAACACAATCCGTAAAGCCCTTTATGCACACCGGGTCTGATTTTGCTGGTCCGTTTAAGGTCACGCTCACTCGCGGGCTTGGTATAAGATCCACAAAAGCTTACGTCTGCATTTTCGTATGTCTGACTACTCGGGCTGTGCATATAGAACTCGTTGGTGATCTAAGCACAGCGGGCTTTATGGGTGCATTTAAAAGATTTCTTTCCCGCCGTGGCCCTGTAAGTAAATTGTATTCGGATAACGGTACAAATTATGTCGGCGCGAAACGTATTTTATCAGAACTACATGAGCTTTTAGCCAGCAAGTATTATAATTCGGAGTTCGCTCACGTCCTAGCCGAGAAACGCATCGAGTGGTCTCTGAACATCCCAGCCGCGAGCCATTTTGGGGGAAATTGGGAGACTAATATTAAGAGTCTAAAGAGTCATTTATACCGAGTAATAGGAGATCAAATTTTGTACTTCGAAGCGTTAAGTACTGTGCTCGCTCAAATTGAGTGCGTTATTAATAGTCGCCCCCCTTTGTCGTACGTTGTCAAGTGACCCCTCGGAGCCGCTGGCTCTAACTCCAGCACATTTTTTGAATTTAACGCCTTTGAAGTATCTGCCCGCCATAGACATGGACGAGAACAAACTTAGCATTTCCGCACGCCATAAATTATTGGACCGGTTGGTGCAGTCGTTTTGGAAACGATGGAGAATGGAATACTTGCATACTATGCAGTCTCGGCAAAAATGGAACACAGCAACTGAACTTTTAACTGTCGGAACTGTGGTTGTGCTCACCAAGGAGAATACGCCGCCTCTCCATTGGCCATTAGGGATTGTCGAAGAAGTTTTTCCCGGTTCCGACGGGGTAATCAGGATAGCTCGCGTTAGGACCACGACTGGATCTTACGAGTACATGCGTCCTGTTGTCCGTTTGTGCCCTTTTCCCCTTCAATAGTTTAAATTAGCTTTCTAGATTAGAAATTGTAGTCGTAAATTAGGTTTAGTCTTAGCGTTAGTTATTTTGAAGGGGACCCTTCAAGCCGGAGGGGATGGTTGCGCGGAAACGATTCTTGTATTTTAATTTTATTCGAGGGTATATTGCCAAGCGTTTATCCTTCCTTTGACCTATCCCTTCCGTACACACTGAAGGGGGGTGAGAGGGGAAAGAAGAGATTCTAGAATGTTGCGTGATTCTTGAAACCAATGAGAAGCGCGCCCGACCGAGATGCATTGATAGGAGTGCCGAAGCAATATAAGCACGCGCACGGCCCTCGTGCGCTCTCTTCCATCGCACCAGCGGCCAGGTCCGCATCCCTGGTGCTCCAGGAGATCCACCAGAAGTCGCACGTAAGTGGGTTTTTTTCCTATAACTCAATGCCTGCTTGAGTATTTGTTTGTTAGCTAACCCGCCCCATTTCATTCCTCCTAATGTGCTCAAGCAGGATTCCTTCATAACCTTGGCAAACCATAGATTTCGGAAGAGCGAGTGCATTGTCAAGGAACCGCATGCCACATCCGCCATCTTGTTGAGGCAGAAGAAGCTTACCGCGTATACAGTCCATCTAGTATAACATCTCGCGTAATAGGGTCAAGGCTCGACCGGGGAATCGGACTCGGGAACCCTAAGGCCCGCCGCCCAACCAATATAAGACTGTTGTCTTCAATATCCATACACTTTTTGTCTCTGCAAGCTTTCAGCCTGCAAGGCATACAGATTTGTTCTAAGCGATCCACCTGAAAAGAAGTTAATGAAAATTGTAAAGGTGTCTTAACTAAACAATAATTCTTATCAATATATTATTTTTCTATATTATATAGGAATTAAAAGGACATTTTTAATAATAAGAGATATGACATAAGACTATGCCTTCAATATCAATAAACTGTATTTACATATTTCTGTGAACATTTTCTTATATCTGCCTGTATATATGTTATATAATAAAAAAAATTATTATAAATTATACAGCATTAATCAGCTCCAGCTGATCAAATATAGAAGCAGTAATTATTGATTAACATCAATGATATTCAACTATGTAAAAGTTGTCTCACATTTTATTTTCACTGGTTTCATGTACATAGGAGACAAAGATATTATTGTTATATTAAGTATATCTCATTCTAGATGACAAAATAATATTCCTTTCTGCAGAGTGAACAATACAGCTGTCTAAGCATAATAGATACAACCATTACACTTTTTTTATACAAATTATTATTATTAAACTTTATATTTGCTTTTAGTACAGATATTTTTTTTCTTGAACAGAACGAGATTTCTATATTTACGCGAACATACACATTGAAATAATACTAGTTTTAACGGAATTTATCGCGTATATTTAACTTTATAAATACCCGACGTTTCGAACGCTTTACAGCACTGATGGTCACGGGCGCGACTGAGATGTTCAACGTCCAGTGTGCCTAGTGCGAGTTCCACAAAATTAATCGAATGATTTCACCATCGCGTTAATCGAGTCAACGTCATCGGTATCTACAAGCGAAGAGGGGCGAGTGTGAGTTACAATCGAAGCTAATCTATCGATTCGCGTTTGCTCACTGTAAATGGCGTTCGTTCCTTCCTTTATGTTGGTAGCACTTTCGCGTCGTGAGATAAACTAACCAAATTTAGGATAACATATTCACTTAGTGTTCTTAATATTAGTAGCTGTCTATCAAAGTTGTGGTTATTATAGCATCCTTGATGTTTATAATACTTTGACAGTTTGTGTTTGTTTACGTGAAGTTGCAATTGTTTCTTGAAAATAATAAATTATAAGTAAAAAACATGAACACTAGTTCGTCTCAATTCGATTTGATGGTGACATTTATGGAGCAGTAAGTTGAATTTAATTTATTTAGTGTTTAGGGAACTTATGTTGTGTATTTTGTACCTAGGTTTCACGGACTATAATTTATTGGTTCTAGGCACGGAGATCTCAGCAAACCATCTTCCAATGCAAAAGGTAGGATGACTTGTATAAAAAATTGGGAGGAACTAGCTCAATTACTGAATAGTGATGGTAGCGGTGATACAAAAAGTACGGAGAAATGGAAGAAAGTACGTCAAAATGGTTATTTTATACATACTTTGGTTTAAGCTGGGTTGCAGTTCTCTAATTTTATGAAAAAATTGCTTCTCTGCTCGCTTTAAGGTTTGGAGTGATTATAAAAATAATACAAAAAAAAAGGTTGCTCGTCTGCATAAAGCAGCTAGAGGTACTGGTGGTGGGCCTGCTATACATATCAAATTGATGGATTTGGAACAAAGAGTACTAAATTTGATTGGTGTAGAAGTAGCTACGGGTTTGGCAGTTGAAGAGGCTGGGTTGTCACAGGTTACAACTTTTTAAATTAAATTAAGCGATTTTCTAGTGGATTATATATTTCATAAATTGTATTTTTTTCAGGGGAATTATATTCAGGGTAATCCCATAGTGAATATTGAACAAGGCATACCGACTCCACAACCACATCACTTAGTGGAATGTAAGTTGCAGTAGTAGGATATCAGCTAATATGCTGCTGATAACAGTATATAATAATTTTTATTTTATTTTAGGTCATCCACAGCCTGGTCAGGAAAATATTGCCTCATTATTGGCACCATCGCTTCCGAGAGCAATATCTTCACCATCTATTGCCTTTGTAGAGGAATTTCAAAGTAGTATATAACATACTTATTAAACAGTATACATATAAACTTCAGACTAGTACTGAGTTTGTTCCGGGTATTTAACCCAGAAATTCTTGCTTGGCACTTGCAACCACTGAGGCAGTGCTTCACATTTTCCAAATAAATTAAAAATAATAAAATATACATGAGCTATTCAATATACACTAAATATTAATAAATCTTACTTTTAGATAAAAATTAGTTGATGTTATAAATTTATAAGCCAACTTGTCGTCTTTTGTGTTTTTTGTACACAACTACTATATTAATTTTGTTGAATATTTAATTTATGTTTTTCATATTTTAGGTTCTCAATCTTGCAACGACCCAGGACCATCAAGACGTCCCCATGTTGCCCCAGCAAATATTGTGGCATCTCCGCTTGTTCCATTTGTGGAGGTAGAAGAGGAAAGTAAGATAGAAGTTTAATTATTCACGAAGGTGATAATTTCAAATAAATTTGTTAACATATTACCATTACATAAATTATTACAGATACTCTTCAACTATGCCCTCATCTCAAGTGCAAGAAATTCAGCCAGGGCCTGCTTTGTCCGAGCAATCAACACCTCGCCATTCTAGACCTATTCGAACTCGGGGATCACCTAGAAGACGAGTGAGGCCAGCACACACAGAGCAGGCAGCACAACAGTTTCTCCAAGCCGAAGAACACTGGAGAAATTTTAAAAGTCAACAACACCAAGACCTTATGGAGACGAGAAGGGAGCAAAATCGAATTAGGGAGCATTAGGATTAAGAGCTTTAGATATTTTAGATAAATTAGTTAATAAGTATTGTAAAGATTAGTCAATTAATATTTGTTTATTTTAACTCTATTGCTATTAATATTGTTGTTACTAATACTATGTTACTATTAATTATTTAATTAAATTTGTGATAATGATTAAGGCTGATTAATAAAAGAAAGGTTTAAGATTATTAAAATTTTTACTCCTTATTGCAATCTTATTGCTAATTGATCTCTCAACATTCTACCTCTAATTAAATCAGAGGTAGCTTCTCCTCTTTCTGTATAGCTTATTTGGTCACATTCTATTGTCCTTTCAAATTGCAGACCTAAAAATAATCGAAAATTAATAAGTTTACTATTTATAAGTTAGCTTAATATATTATAGTAATTTGATTTGAAATTAAGATAGCCACCAATATTTTCCTCTGTGTCCACAACACCAAAATTAATAATTATGTTATGTAGCACAGAGCACGCTAAAATAATGTGCGCACATTTTACAGGCTTGTAATGCAGAACTCTATCCTTGTGCAGACATCGTTTTTTTTTTTTGGGGCTTTTTTTTTTTTATTTTTTTTTTTTTTGGTGTTGGGGGGGGGGGGGTGTTGTTTTTCCCGCGGGGGGGGGTTGTGCCACCCAAATTTATTTTCCTTTTTGTCATCTTGTGGTTTTTTGTTGTGTGTTTTTTTTCTGAAATCAAATACGACATTTTTGTATGTGACAGATGTGGCACACGATGCAATAAGTGTCTTCAAAATATTTGTATTGTTTCTAGATGAGCCGAAGGAAAAATTTGAATTCTGATGATATTCAACAGTTTCTCGAAATTCCTTCCGGTAGTGAAGATGACCTGGAACTGTCTGATGAGCACAGCGATGACGACTTGATCAGAATCCAGGATTTGGTGTTGAACGAAGTGGAGACGTGCCCTGAAGTACTACAGGATGATTTCTTCGATGAGAACGTGAGCATACCTAGTCCAAGGTCAAGCAGTAGTATGTTAGTGATTCAGCCAACAAGCAGTTCTTCTAACACAGCCAACGTTGCATCACAACCTAGTACTTCCAGGCAAGTAAATCCTAGATCCAGCCGAGTAGCATCACGACCTCAAGCAGTACCTACTCCCCGCATCATTTCACCTTCCCCACAGCCTGTCAGGCCTGCCAGGCCAAAACCTAAGAGAGAATACATATGGCGGAAGATGGACTTTCAGCCACCTGATACCACATTTACTGGCGTTGACGTGTTGGAACAACCATATACTACATTTGAAACACCTTTGCAGTACTTTTTGCACTTTTTTGACGACGATTTGTTGGATCACATTGCTGAAGAATCTACTAAATACAGCATTCAGAAGGATTGCTCAAAGCCAGTTTTGGTTACAAACACGGAACTCAAAAAATATTTAGGCATCTGTCTCTTGTTAGGACTGGTGCCACAGCCAAACATTCGCATGTTGTGGAATTCTATATTAGGTATACCACTTATAATTGAAACGATGACACTCGGTAATTTTGAAAAATTACGAAGTGTCATACATTTCAATGACAACATAAATTACAAACCTAGAGGAGAGCCAGGACGCGACAGACTTTTCCGTATTAGACCCTTATTGGAAACATTGAGAAAGAAATGTCAAGCTGTGCCGAAACGAGAGACACTTTCGGTGGATGAGCAAATGTGCGCTACCAAAGCCTGCAACTTCCTCCGCCAGTATCTCCCGAACAAACCTCATAAGTGGGGATACAAGTTGTTGGTGTTGTGTGATGATAAAGGTTTTGCTTATGACTTTGAAATCTACTTCGGCGCAGAAAATGATCCTGAGTTGAGGCTGCCCGACGAATGTGTTTTAGGAGCGAGTAGCAACATTGTTGTACGCCTATGTCGCAGTGTTCCAAGAAATCAAAATTATAAGATCTTTTTCGATAATTATTACACGTCTCCTGAATTGATTTCTTACTTGGCTAAAAAAGGCATTCATACATTAGGCACCGTGAACAAGGGTCGTATGGGGATGACTTTGAAAATGCCATCTCAAAAAGAATTGACGGCCGCTAAAAGGCCGCGCGGCTATTCAGAAGGATGGGTGGCTACTGTTGATGCAGTACCAGTCTCAGCAGTGCTGTGGCTAGACAGCAAATCTGTTGTTCTCGCATCTTCTTTTGTCGGTGAACAACCTAAATATTAAGTAAAACGTTTCTGTAAGAAACGTAAACAATACACAGAAGTCAACGCCCCAAATATTATTGGACATTACAATCGGCATATGGGCGGAGTAGATCTCCTTGACTTTTTCATAGGAAAACACAAAATAAAAATGCGTACAAGAAAGTGGTACATGAGAATATTCTATCATTTGCTAGATGTGATGCTGATAAGTAGCTGGCTTTTATATAAAAGAGTAGAGACGCAGAGGGAAAACACAAAAATGATGAAGTTACGAGAATTCCGACTGGAGGTGGCCAAAGAATTGTGTTGGTGTGGACCGTCAATAATAAAGAAGAGAGGAAGACCCTCCTCATTTGTATCTGACATGCTTGATGTAAGAATCAAAAGGAAGCCAAAACTCAATGTACCACCAAAAGATGTCAAGACCGATGGAATGGAACACTTTCCTATTTGGTCTAACATTAGGAAGCGATGTAAGTTACCCGCTTGTAAGGGGAAATCTTTTGTATTTTGCCAGAAATGTAACCAGGCACTCTGTCTCAACAAGGACAAGAACTGTTTTTTGTCATTCCACAAATAGTTTCGAAATTGTTGTTTTTGTTCTATATTTTATTCTATTTTTCACAAAAAGTTCCTAGTTTTATAATTATATATAAGTACAAATACTTAGATTGTAAGGCTCCTTAACCTAAGGTTAAATTAGTTGTTATAAAACATAATTTTCATGAATAAAGTTTGATTACTATGAGTTTATTTCATTCATAACTATTCCTAAAACATTACTACGGATTTACATTATACTGCACGATGTGCCATATGTGGGCCATACGAAAAAACTTACATAAGTATGTTTCTATGGAGTTGCGATTTTTTTAAATATTTTTCCGAGCTATAGTATTATATTTTCTAGGTAATATGTATTTTTAAGCCGAAAAAAAATCATGCACTGTAGGGTTAAAATATAAATGTTGTCAATAATATAGATGATAGGTATTATTTAGTAATGTTTTGCTTAAAAACACTTTGTATAAATCAAAACATTCCAGTAAGTTATACTGCAGATATATTACCCAAAAGCCAAAACATTTCTCCATTTCGGTGCAAAGATTGAATATATGTGTTTAAATCACTGTTTTCCCATATAAAGGAATCATAATTTGCACCTCCAAACTTGGAATTGACACTTAAAATTCTATATTCATCATCACATACCTGAAAAGAAGACATTTTTTTATTTTCTGCCCCTTTTTAAGCAATCAATAATATCATTCAAATAAAAAGAACTTTAGATTTATCATTTGAACATTAAGGGAATGGTAGTGCTTACGACTATAATACAAATGTTCCTCTTCTTTTGGTGGGACAACTATTTTAAAATGACTTCCATCAATACAACCAACCACTCCAGGGATTCCATATTTTCTGTAAAATCTAACTTTTAAAATAAGTATTTACTGAATCAAATAATTTGCTTAACCTCTTGCGTACATCTGTACTACTGATAGTACGTAAGAAAAATAAAAATCTGTGGTCTTCGTTTTCATTACCAGAGCTAAAATATTTTACTAGTGACATCTAGTAAATACACGCGTAACGACAAAAAAGTAAAACGTCACAATATCTTCTGTCATTCTTTTAAAAATGGCGTTGGAAGGTGGGCGAACGAATGTGCGTTTATGCAAAGGTAAGTTAATCCATATTAATCGTATAATTTTATAGGTAAAAGTATGAAATCCTTTTTTGTATAAAATAAGTTATTGGTTGTGCAAACTAATTGTTCAAAATGTTATTGTAAATATAAATTAAATACTCGGGCTGTGACCTTGATATTTTCTTCTATGTACTCTTCAAAGTACAAAAGTATGCAATTAATATTTTTCTCAACTGCCTTCCCAAGTACTATATAAAGTACGTTTACGTTTTCTTCAAATATTGTGTTTTTTTCAGGGTTAACATCTAACGTCATCGCAGAAGTTTTGAATGACTCCGAGTTCGATTATTCTGGAGATGATACGGATAAAGATCCAGAGTTTCATCCACCAGAAATCAATCAAACTATCCGTGATCATGCTCAAAGCGAATCCAGTAGTTCGAGCGAGGATGAAGATGATTTGGTTACTTCGGTGGCTTCTCCGACAGTGTCAGACAACTCAGACTCACCTTCAACTTCGTCATACTTATTACGAGCAAGAGGACGCGCAAGAAACATTTCACAGGCAGAGTTGTGGTCGTAGCCCTGGTAGAGGTGAAAGCTCACAGTTAGTATACGACTCGACAATTATTCAGCTATAAGAACTCGACAATATAACGCAGGAATTCAAGATACTTGGGTACACGAGACACTAGATTCAAAAATTAATAGTTTGATGCAACCTGCTTACATCAATAAAAGTTCTAACGAATGGGAGTGGTACCAGTTTTATGAGCAATACGTAGATGATGATATTTTAAACTGCATAGTAACATGCACCAATAGGACACAAGTATTAGAGACCGGTAAATCGATGGGACTAAGTCTAAAGGAGCTTAAGGTCTATATAGGTATTACCATGATCATGTCCGCATTACAATATCCACAAATTTCCATGTATTGGTCTGAAAAATGGAAAGTTCCAATAATAGCCAGAGCTATGACCCGTAATGGATTTTTTTTTCATTAGAAAAAGATTAAAATGCGTTTATGACCCAGAAGTGACCAACGAACAAAAAAGTCAAAAAATATGGAAAGTCCAGCCTTTATTTGATCGCATATTAGCCGGATGTCATGAACAAAATCATCCTCAGGAAATGAGTATTGACGAAATGATTATTCCTTTTACTGGGAAATGTCCAATGCGGCAATACTGTCCAAACAAACCCAAATCCATATGACAAGAAGTTTAGTCCCGGGACATATACTATTTTTTGATCGTTTCTTCACGACGGCTAAACTTTGTGATGAATTGCTAAGACTAGGATTTCATGCTACAGGCACTATTATGAAGAATAGAATCCCGAAAAACTGTGTATTAACTGATGAAAAGACGTTTAAAAAGAGAGCGAGAGGAAGTAGCGAAGTAAAAGTTAGAGAAGACCAAAAACTCGCTGTGACAATGTGGCTTGATAATAAGCCCGTTCTAATGATGTCAACTTGTTATTGCGGTCAAGATTATGACGAATGCGAGCGATGGTCAAAGCAAAATAGTAGAAAAGGTGAAAAGGGATTATTTTATAACGAAAAAATGGGTGGTGTCGATCTCGCAGATCGTATGCTTTCTGTTTGCCCATCACGCAATCGTACAAAAAAGTGAACAATACGCGTAATTTCTCATCTTTTCGACCTATGCGTGGTAAACGCTTGGTTGCATTATAGAATGACAGAAGTCGAGAAGGATACACTAAAGAAAAATATAGTACAAGTGCGAGAGTACACTGAATTTCGGTACAAAACTGATTAATGATAATGAAGAAGAATGTGATGATGAACGTGAAGATGAATACGAAGAACTGGAGCCAAAACATAAAAAACACAAGGTACTCATTAAACCAGTTCCTTCTAAAGAAAACCGTACCATAAGTGCAGCGCATTTGCCAGAATACGATAAAAAACAATTTCGCTGTAGGAAGAATGGCTGCGATAAAAAAACTACGGTATTTTGCAAAAAATTTGAAATTTGTCTATGTTTTACGCCTAATCGTAATTGTTTTACTAATTTCCATGAACATTAATACATGCAAATCCAAAAAAAATTAAATACAAGAAAAAAATTTTGATCTCTAATGTTTTTATTATTAAGTAGTAAGTTTATAAGAAGAATTTAGTTTGTTCCAAATATTATGTTATGAAGAAAAGTTTAATTTCTGTTGATTTAGAAAATTTTAATAAAACATATTAAAATTATTCAAAAATCTATTATTTGTTGCTCTTATCTGCTCAATATGCTATAAAAATTCGTAACATCTTATACGAAGTTCATAATAGTTAAGTGCCCTTGTACTTTGTGTAGAACATAGTGAAAAACCCGTTTTTCCTGTCATAGATTTTTTTAAATATTTTTCCCGTACTAAGTAATGGTCAAACAGTGAAATATTAAAGTTTTAAGAAGAAACTTAAAAAAAAACGTGTCTGGTACTCAGGAGGTTAAGGTTGTTTAAAAATAAGTATATATTTATTACCGTTGACTAACTGCTTGTCTAACAGCTAGAGTATCAGGGAACCGAATATATTTATTAATTATATTTTTGTGTGTCAGCGCCTGGGTAACTTCTTCTATGTAAACACTGCACATTTTTTGTGATATGTGCTTTGTAACTCCAACTGGCCTTTGGTAGGATCCAGTTGCAAAAAAGAATAGAGCAGTGAGCACCTGCAATTAAAAAGAGAACAAACTTATACTTGCACTTGTTTTAAATTTGCGTTGCAAAAATGTAAAAAAATTAATGATCGGTACACACTTTATGTTCCAAGGAAACGCGTTGAGAGGACCTAAGATTTGTCAAACTACTTAGCTCTTTAAATAAAAACTTGAACACTTTCTTGGAAAAGCGATATCTATCTTTGAATTGCCTCTCCGTGAGGTGTAACAAGAGATTGAAAGATGCACGAGCTCTTGTTTCAACATTGGCGTTATAATTGCGGTCATATTGTGCCTTAGCGGCTGTAAACATCCTCTATGCGAAATAAAAACGTCCTGCCATACTTAAATATCGTTCACAAAATACGAAATAAAATTACTAAATCTTCAACAATTGTTCTCACTACACTGTCTCACAGTAAAAATCTATGTGAAAACTTTTTCGATAGCATCAGAGTAAATTTTGTTTACGTTACGTCTCGAATGATTGAAATTGCCACTCGCACTCGCAATGTACCCGTGAGCATTTGAAACGACCAATCACAAGCGTTAACGTTCTCACTGTCAAATGCTATTCAATGTTCAATGGTCGATATCGACGACGTAATAAACTCGCACTCAGGAATTGTGTTTCAAATTATTGTCACTAGTTGGCGCTTTTTTTATTCCATACAAATCGCAGTTAAATTTATCGCTATCGAACACTTAAAAAGCTCTCACCAACTTGCGGTAGGCACACAGATGCCATAGTTAACCGCGGTTACTATAGATTAAAATTTAACTTTTGTTCCGATCTACACAGTATGAACTTATGGTGTCTCGAAGTCTTGCAGTTGTATGCTTGGGTTGGGATTTAATTTTATTTATTATAGGATCCCAAGCAGATGGTAGCACCCAGCCATCTTCTCTATTGAAATAAGGATGTTTTTTGATTTCAATAGCCTCGCGAATCATCCTTGGAAGGAATCGGTGTTCTTTAGCGAGGATTTGTGGTCTATCAAATCTGATGTAGTGACGGGGGCCATCCTGTACGTGTTCACAGACTGCAGACTTCCCGGAGCGTCGATTCTTCACATCAGCTATATGTTCTTTAACGCGGGTTTTAATTGATCTTTTAGTTTGTCCTATGTAGGAGAGACCACATTCACAATCGAGCTTGTACACTCCTGCATCTTGCAGAGTGACATTACACTTGACTGATGGTAAAAACTGACTAATCTTCTTCAGCGGCTTGAAGTAGGTTTTGATGAAAGCGCGCTTCAAGATGTAGCCAATCTTGTCAGTGACTCCTCTAACATATGGCAGTACAGCAGGTACACGCTCGACTGTGGCCGGCTTCACTCGTTCACTGTGACGTAGGCGCGGGACCCGAAGCTTGTTGTCATGCAAAACTTGCTTGACATGGCATTGATTCAGATGTTTGACATTTGACTTGGTCGTTAATTTTTGATATTTTTCTTTATGTCTGTTTTTGCATTCGTTATATTTACTAATTACGCGTTTATTTAATGTTTCCATGCAAAAATTATAATCAAACGTCGTTAAAACTTTTTTTATTTCACTGGATGATGTGACATAAATAAATCCATAGACACATCATCCAGTGAATCGTCACTACATCAGATTTCATAGACCACAAATCCCCGCTAAGGAACACCGATTCCTTCCAAGGATGATGCGCGAGGCTATTGAAATCAAAAAACATCTTAATTTCAATAAAGAAGATGGCTGGGTGCTACCGTCTGCTTGGGATCCTATAATAAATAAAATTAAATCCCAACCCAAGCATACAACTGCAAGACTTCAAGATACCATAAGTTCATGCTGTGTAGATCGGAACCAAAAGTTAAATTTTAATCTATGGTAACCGCGGTTAACTAAGACATCTGGACGTTGAACATCTCAGTCCCGCCCATGACCATAAGTGCTGTAAAGCGTTCGAAACGTCGGGTATTTAAAAAGTTAAATATACGCGATAAATTCCGTAAAAACTAGTATTATTCCAGAATCCTTGTCTGGCTTAACAAAAAAACCATTTAGTATTATGCAACTTGCTGAATACATAACGTACCTATTTGTACACAAATGCAGTTATATGAATTGCTCTTCAAAACCCTCTTTAAGTCCCTCGACCCTAGATTCTAATTTTCTTTTAACATTATAATAACTTTTTTGTGCATTTATTATATTTATTATTTAATTTAGATTTTACTAAAAACATAAACTTAATACTTTGTCACTTTTAACAAACTAATAAGGTTTTAAGACCTGTTTGTTATTTGTATTTGTTTTAGGTAAAATCTACAAACTTAATAATAGATTTTCACAACCTAGAATAGGTGTAAATTAATAAACTCTTATATTAATTAACCTAAACTCGTAAGTTTTATTTGCAAATTTTACCACAAAAAATAAAAAGAGAAAACGTACGTACTGTGTCAATTAATATTTGGCTAACCATCCTGATAATTGATAATATCCATATTTTCTTAATAGTCTAGTAATGCTTGTAAATAAAAACTTTTGTTCTTACCATAATGATGCGACTCCAACCATTTTTTATTTCACTCGAGTGAATAGAGTGAATTTGTCCAACTCGATAATCGATAGAAAATAAATTTTACCGAGTTACTTACTCGGTGCATTGTATAGATTCAGAGGGTGCTATATAGATATTACTTCACTAATTTACTTGTATATATAATAAGTCGCTGCGGGTGACATCACAAGTTGCATCCAAATCACATCCAACAACAAACCTGAACTTAGTACTTATTTATAAAGGTATGGTGGAGCCACGTGTTTAAGGCTGCCGAAGTCTAGTTCCCCGGTCGAACCTTAAACCTATTACGCGAGATATTAATCTAAGTGGACTGTATCTACTAATGCTTCTACACTTA